ACTATATGGGTACATGGAGCCCCTAAACCCTAAACCCTAAACCCTAAACCCTTATTAGGGCCAATAGAATCAGCCACCGGAGCCTCAACAACTGATCGCTTGGAACGCCCCCTCTCCCCAAACAACGGACATGTACGGTTTAAGGGTTTAGGGTTTAGGGTTTAGGGTTTAGGGTTTAGGGCGTGTGCGGTTTTGTGCTTTACCAGAATCAACATGCCGCCTCTGCTCAAATGTGTCTGTTACAAGGTTTAGGAGCCAAGCCCCCCACCCTAGCCCTAAACGTCGAAGATCCAGTGCATGTGAGCGCCACAGGGTTCGTCCCATAAGCTGTTGCCCTTAGTTTGCCTTCCTGCCCCGCGCACAGGTCCAGTTCCGGGCTGCTGAGACTGGCAGCAAGGCCAGCAGCGATCCACCAGTGGGGTCATAGTGAGGTTTTGTTGTTTCAAGGTGTTACGGCTTTAAATGTATGTACAAGATTTGTCATTTTACTGGGGTACTCGGAGATTGAGAAACGGCGTACTAGGTCTCTGCAGGGCTTCCATCGGCTTGTGTTCGAGAGGCTTCCTTTTGTGGGTTTATAGGATTCCTGACAGGCTGTATAGCTGGCTTCGGGCTTAGTAATGGTATGTAAGGGATCTTGAAAGAAGGTTCGTTGCTACTGTTTAGGGACGGCTCTGGTTGGGGTCTCTTGTTTCTTTAGAAACTCTCATTTGCTGTGGAGTTATGAGACGTCGCGGTAGGACATAGCCTGTGAAGCTGATATGGTTCACAGTCTTGGGAAGGGAGACAGGAGTCTTTACCCTTTTTCTAAAGTTGTCTTCACTACTGCGACTGCCATGACGACGATGTTCATTGTGGCTCTGCATGAATGTCAGGCGCTTGGTAGGGTCAGGTGCAAACCTACAAAGCCCATGCCCTACATCTTGCAAACATAGAGCTGCACCCCAAACCCCCCCACCCTAACCCAAAAGCCTGAACCCTAAATACGACATGTGAGGATCCGGCGGTCTCATACTTGGGGGTTCAAAGCTCAAGTTTGTTTGAGTCTCCAAAACCCTAAGGGTCCATGTACCCAACTAGTATATACTTTAGCCCCAAAGTACCTATATAGGGACTGCTTTAAGGCCAAAGTATATACTAGTTGGGCACATGGACCCTTAAAGAAACACTCGAACCCCAAACCGATATGTTGGGCTCTTTGGGTAGTTAGGGTGTCCAGGGGTGTATCCGACACTAGTGCAGGGAAGTGTCAATGTCGGTGCAGTCCAGCCGCATCTCCAGGATAAGACAGCAAGTCTGAATAGCTAGCATTCGTACGCCTTAGATTTCGAGGGTTACATAGGTATAACTACTATACTTACTATAGTATACCCCCAAACCTGTTAGACCATTTTCAGGCCTCTCCATTATGTAATTTCGCTCCAAGACCCCGGAAAACCTCAGTAGAAACCCTGATCCTAAACCCCACATAAACACGGAACCCTAAACCCTAAAACCCCAGACCCTAAAACCCTAGACCCAAAAACCCTAACATAAAAAGAACAACTCTGACTGCGGCGTGGGAGGTCGTAGAGTCTCTTCGGCCGCTACTGGCGCCCTCTGTGCAGGGTTTGCCTTGGCCCGGGGACTCGGGGGGCCGCGGTTTTTTTGGTTCTTTTTTTTTAGGGTTTAGGGGTTAGGGGTTCAGGGTTTAGGGTTTAGGGGTTTGGGTTTAGGGTGTTCGGTTCAGGGAGGCGTTTTTTCAGAATGCGTGGGGGGCTCGACAGGTTGTTTTGGTGGTTTTCGAACGGTTCTGTAAGATGTTCAATCAATGCAGGGGTTTGACAGAGTATTCAAAAAGGGGTTTATCCTGGTGAAGTTTTTGTTTGCGAGAGTCTTTATACAATTAAAGGGGTTTGAAGGTTTTTGTCAAGGGTTTGCAGGTTTTTTGCTTAAACCCTAAACCCTAAACGTATAGCTGTGGCACCAGCACTGTATGAGTACGGGCCCGGTGAGCGATGGTTTCACGAGATTTGGGTTTCACGAGATTTTTTGAAATAATTTCATGAGGTGCTAAAAGGGTTTAGGGTTTTATAGAGGGTTGAGTGGGCTGTGTACTTCTGTTACATGGTGCCTTACTTTTTTTTACTAGGGGTGTATTAAAGAAAAGGCTGTTATACTTATTTTTTGGAACAGGAACCCACCATGTAGGTAGCTGGGCTTCTAGCGAACATCACTTTCAAACCATGCGCCTCGGGCGGTTACCTGTTTTCACAAGTCGCACACGAAGTAGAAGTTGCCGTAAACTCTACCTAGACCCAAAGGAACCTACACTTTTAAAGACTTATACCAGAAAATCATAATAAGGAGCCTAAAGAAAGTAGGTTCTTTGGGATCCAGGTAGACCCTAAACCGTTGGTTTTGCAAAAATTTGCCAAATGTCTCGCACACTTTCGAAAGAGACCCCAGACCACAACCATCCTGCCGCAGAAGCCCAGGTACGTCTACCGGTCGCCTCCTATGGAGCGGCTGGCCCCAAAGGTGGCCTTGACGTATATGTTGATTAAGTTGGTAGAGTTTATGTTTAAGTTTTTAGAGTTGTGGTTTTAGGGGTTAGGGGTTTAGATTTTTTAAGATGTTCATGGATTTGAGGTTTAGGGTTAAGATTTTTAATGTTCAAGGATTTAGGGCAGGAGGGCTCTACAGTCGTGTTTGTGGAGATTTTTGGTACCTAAGTTCAGGGCGAAACAATCCTTAACACCGCAAGCTAAAAGACTCGTAATATAGGGGCCTCAATAATTAGGACAAGGTTTGGGGGTATCTTATACTATAACTTTAATAAGGAACCCTCAAAACCCTATACTTACTAAGGCCCCTACAGTACTGTTGTTCGAGCTTCGGGAACTTTGGTCTGGTGAACCCGAAACCCCAATCCTGCATCTTAAACCATTCTAATCCTAAGAGCCCATGTGCCCAGATGGGTGGTTGTCAAAATTAGGGTCCCTTTTTGGGTCCTTATTATAATACGGCACCTATTATTTAAGGTACCGCAAAAGGGACCATAATTTTGACAACTACCCAGATAGTATATACTTTGGCCTTAAAATAGTCCCTATATAGGTACTTTGGGGCCAAAGTAGATACTATTTGGGTACATGGATCCTTAGGTTTGGTGTTGATCGAGCATGTAGCTTGCCGTACTCCTGTTCTCTGCATGAAGATAAACTCCTAAGCCGTTAAACTTTTGGTGCTGACGGCTACATCTTCGCCAGATCACCGGTTTGATTTTCAGACAATACTCCCGCACCTGGGTTCAGGGCTCTGGCTTGGCGGTTTAACGTGTCGCTGTTGCGTTTGGGTACACAGACTTGTTGAGAGTTTTGGTCTAGTCGTGTTAAGAGGCATCCATGCTGCCTGTTGGTCGGCAGAAGCAAGCAAGCCGCTTATTACCTCGAAGCACTAAACTCACAGTGCGAACAACTCGAACCGGTTTTTCGGAGCATGTTTCACTAGACCCTCAGCAAACCCCAAAGCCTTAGAACCATTCCGGCATGTAGCCAGGCATTCTCTCACTCAGGGCGCTGGGCTTCCATTCAGGGCTTAATGTAGGGGCCTAAATAATTACCAATACTATCTTGGGGGACAACCCGAGTTGCTAAGTCCCATGATCCTTTTCCGTAAAGTCTCCCCCTTTCACAAACTGGCGTAAACCCTACTCACTAAACCCCTAAACCCCTCACCAAATGCCTTGAACATCCCCCCTTAAAGTCTCCCCCTCCCCAGAGAGCCCAGTACCCCTTGATTAAGGAATGCAGCTCAAATAAGACGGGCCTAAATATTGCTTTGCCCTAAACCCTAAACCCTAAACCCCTAAACCCTAAACCCTAAACCCTAAAACCTAAACCCTAACTGAGGGGTATTGGGCTCTCGGGGTCCCAAAACTGGTAGGTCACGCTTGCTGCTGCTGGCTTGGCACCCGGCGCCGTGATGCCAGACACCCAGGGGCGAAGATGAAAACGATTTGGGTGGTTGTCAAAATTATGGTCCCTTTTTGGGTCCCTAATATAATACGGTACCTATTATTTAGGGTACCCCAAAAGCGACCATAATTTTGACAACTACCTATTTCTCTGGTAGAAACCCTAGATGAACCCTTGTAGATGCCTGACTACTACCGCTACTACCGCAGCTACTACTACCACTGCTACTACTACGACGACGACGACGACGACGACTACAACAACAACAACAACAACAACAACAACTACTACTACTACCAACTACTAACTACTAACTACTGACTACTAACTACTACCTATTACCTTCTACTTACTACCTACTACCTACTACCGT